AGTAAATCAATTCTAATTTTCAACCACATATTCTTCAATAAAATAATATTTTTCATCACATCAATAATTTTTTCTTCTTTTTCAACCACACATTTCCCATCATATCACTATTCAAAATCAATTCTTCCCCCAAAAATTTCTCCCAAACAAGCTCTATCTATGATTTATATGTTTTAACAAGTGTGCAATGAGCAATTATGTACAAAATATGATCTGGTCACTAAATGGTATTAGTATACCCAAATCTAACGCGTATGGACATCCTTGATTAATATAGTATGGAACCGATTCAAATAAGAAATGTCAATTTCGAACTTTCCACTTAATAACTTCCAAACATTAACTTTCTATATGCCAAGCATGAAAAGATCAAACAAGAAAGACAAAGTCAATGGAAAATTTTAAATCCAGTTTTAAGGTAAATAAATCAACTTAAATAGCCGCGAACTACGTGTCATAATCAGATGGGAGTACGATTTGTTGAGGTAGAACTACAAATCGTTGATGAAACAAAAAACATTGTGCCGCTCTATTTCCCTCTCTGTTGAATAAAACACCAAGAACCGTAATAGTTTTCAATAAGATTGATAATGCACCTTTCCTTTTAACAGTTCTATCTATCTACCTCTCCAAACACAACATGCGTTGTTTAGCCCATGTTGGATTCCATTAAAATAAAATTTTAGGGGAAAATATGTTTTAAAATAGTGATTTTTTGAAAAATGTGGTAAAAAGTTTTGGATTTACGTGTAACACTAGGGGAGTGTGGTTGAAATTTAATTTCATAAAAATGTATTTTTTACAAAAATAGATCCCAAATACGAAATTAATAATATTTATAAAATTAAAATAAATTGACTTATTCAGTATTAAAAATATTTATAAAATTAGGAAAATTCGATTCTTTTTCGATTTTTAGATTCTTGGTTTAGAATCGAGAATCAAATCAAATCCATCGGTTCTTGATTCTAGTACCAATTCAGATTTTTTAACTTAAGAAAAATCAAATTGAATCGAATCGAATCGCTCGATTCGATTCGGTTCTCAATTCTAGTACCAATTCGATTTAATCCGATTTAATTCGAGAGTTTTGTCTTGCCCCCATATGTATCTGTAGTTATCTTGTTTTGTATTTGCAAATTTTAATTTTTTGTACAAAAAAAATTCTCATTTTTAACACATCGCTCTAAAATAATACTCACAATTCAGTTCAATGG